AGGGGGGAAAACAAGCTTTCTGCCTAACAAATAAAGTTGATGTCCAAGGGAAAGAAAAAATTTTAGGACTATAGGTTCATTTCCAAAGATTTCCATTCTTGTTCAGTTATGAGAGAAGAGTAAGAAGAACAAGGTGTCAATTTGTACACCTAATATAAACATCTCTATAAGTCCATAATCGTCTATGAAGAATTAACTTGAAACAGCTGTACATTGCATTTATCAATTTTCAACTTAATTGAGAAACAACCTAAACAAGAGGCGGGGATGCTGAAAATTTATCAGTTCTCCAATTTCCATAGATAAAGAACTTGGAAAGGCCAAGACTAAAATACAATTTTTGACACTGACGATGAGACACATTGTAAGATAACAAAATCATGAAACTGTAGAACGTTGTAACCAGGTATAAGCACATCCATCTCCAATATCTTCCACATATATAGGAGACTTACCTCCCAGACCTTCACATATTTGGATGCTTGAGGAGCAGTTGAAGCCTGTTGTGACATTGGGATGCTAGCTGCTGAATTGTTGTTTACACCAAGCGGCTGCATCCCGGATTGTACTTGCTGAGACATTCCAGGAGTAGGCATCATTGTGCCAGTTCCAGAAGAGACAACAGATTGACCAAGGCCGCTTATCATGTTTTGATTCATGCCCATTCCAGTTTGCACCATTTGTGCACCTGAGATATTTCCTTGGCTCATGGTAGGTACAGACTGACCCATACTAACACCTCCTTGGAGATTATTCATCGGTTGAGAGACCCCAATGTTTGAATTTCCAGACACATTTGAAGTAGCTGCACTGAATGTACTAAGACCAGGGGTTTGGGTAACCTGTGTCAGAGGCCCAGACCCAGGTAATGATGTTATCGCTGGTTGACCAGATGGCAATATGTTTTGAGCAGGTGTAGAAGATGCCATTCCATTAGATATCATGTTTGACATGTGCATTCCAATAGGAGTTTGACCCATAGGTAAGGCTGCAGAGTTTATGACTTGATGTTTTGCCAACAGATTGTTCAGGATGTTCACATTTGCAGGAGCAGGTCCCACAGGACGCAGCGGTTGTGATATACTACTCACTATAGGTTTCAAATCTGGCCCATTCTCATTGTTTGAGATCATGTCTTGAGAACAGAAGATGGTGAAGAAGTCTGCAACGGGACTCCTTGGGAAGCAGCACGAACAACAGAGTGAATGTGTGGAAAAGTGGGTCCAGAAACCATGGAACTTACAGTACTTGGCTCCTGAAGATTTGTTTATGAGATCAAAACCATTCTAAGATACCTTAAAGTAACAAAATTGAAATGGAAAACAACCATCATTTCCATAGAGTGGAGCAAGAAAATGGAAATATAAATGAATCTTACCACTTTTACAGTAGCAGGAGGCATGTTTCCAACAGAAATTGGTTGCCGGTTCATAACAGATCCATTCACTAAGGATAAGAAAAATGATGTTAGTCTTCTTCAATGACAAATTTTCTCAGAAGTTTTAACTTTTTTTTTTTTTTGGCCATTTTCAAATTCGTGTTCATTTACATGAGAAATTAATTAAAGTGCAAACATCGGCCATCAAAGCACTAATGAACAAAAAGAAAGCATAATAAAGGAATCCTTTATTGAATTCCAATTGTCAGAAAGCATATGTTATCAAAGCACCTATAACTGGGTAAAATAGCTTTATCCACATGGCGAAAGTTAAAAGTGCAGAATAAATAAGAAAAATTCAAAGCATGCAAGTTAATTGATATTTTTGTTTATAAATCAAACTCAGGCGATAAAAGGGAAAGGATCCTAAAAGTATAAGTTGATTGAAATCCATGACATATTGACATACACCATATTACAAAAAGGATCACCAAATTGCCCACAATACATAACCTGATGGCATAGAAGTTGGAGGTGGCCCCGTAACAGAAGGAACAGAAGCCATGTCCATTTTTACAGGACTCTGATTTGATGGCAAACTTGGAACTCTGAGAGCAGCACGAGCCTCCAAAAAATTCTCAGACAGTAGAACAAGAAAATAAGGGTTTTTTGCATTATCTATAGGAGGATCGTTTGCTCGGGGATTGCGCTTTCCCTGTATTTAAAAGTGAAAATTCGGGGGAAGTTAATTTGAAGATTATCATTCCATCGACATTGAATTCAATGTGCCCAAAAAGCTAACACTTCTACATGGTAGCTCAAGCCATTTATTTTGGAGTCTCAGGTCACATAAGACATGCAAAAAACGTAGGGAAGGAATTAGCAGATTGAGAGACGTGATTGAGATAATAAACACGTCCTGTTTACAATTTGAAAAGCTTTGAAGAAGAGGAAGATAAAGAATAAGAAATTCAGTTGATGTATGGAATGTTACCACATTGTATATTGCTCGAAGCTTAGGAAGCTGCTTTGGAGAAATGACTGACAGAGAAACCAAGCACTGCAGGGAAAATTAGAAACTCAACAACTGTGATGTGCAACCCTTGTGGAGTTAAAAAAAGGAAAAGAAAATGCTGGCAGACTAAGGAAAAATAACTACTTGTTCTTTTCACAACTCAAGTTCTTTTGCTACAGTGTTTTTCTCACAAAAATTCAAATTCAACTTTTTTGCTAGTGTTATCTCTCACATAAAAAAATTTGAGTCATGACTTGAGTTGTGGAAAGAACACGCCCGTAACATTACCTGAGCAAATGATTTAGCAATGGTCTCAGTGTCAGATAGACGGTTTTCTGTTTGTCCGTCAATATTTTCACTCTGTTCTAAGTTTTGCACTTGTGGTCGAAAGACAGGAGTGGACAGGGGGTGAGGGTTACTTGCAGAAATAAGAATACAATGCCTTTGACAATCCATATTTGGTTGACTCTGATTTCCATTTTGCACAGAGGTAAACATCTAAAATATTCAATAGAAAAAGAAACGTTGTTAAAAGCCGGAACATGGACACAAATAAGGGTCAAAAAATCATTCCTTCAAAAAAAAAATAAATAAATAAAATAAAAAATAAAATAAAAACAAAACAAAAAAATGTCACAGAAAAACATGACACACCATTAGAGCTTCAGAAAGCCCTTCCGCAACTCATCCCCAAAAGCTAGCTTGTAGGGAGAGGGTGCCCAAATGGTTATAAACCCACATGCTAAGCCCATACTTTAGCAATGTGGGACTCAACCAGGATCCTAACATATCCCCACGCTTCCGATACCGACGTCCACGGCGGCCCACTCTGGATGGCCCACTCTGGCCTTTCCAGGTCGCCCCTCTCCAGGTCGCCCCTTCCGCAACGTGGGTCTGAGGAGGAGCATACTCTGATACCAATTGTTATAACCCTTGGGTAGAACTCATCCCCAAAAGCTAGCTTGTAGGGAGAGGGTGCCCAAATGGTTATAAACCCACATGCTAAGCCCATACTTTAGCAATGTGGGACTCAACCAGGATCCTAACATATGATGGGCCCCCAAAACCTCCGCCGTCATACGCTTCCTGGCGCCCCGCAGTGTCGAACGGACCACCATTCCTCCCGTTCAATCCGCCTGGCGTCATGGTTGGGTTTGAAGGGAGCTCCTTGCCCGAAGCCGTCGATCCCGGCGTGGAAGCTTCTCGCTGCCTCAGAAGCTCCCCCAGTTTCCCGATCACCATTTCCAAGCTCTTTTCCAGCTTCGGAATCTTCTTGAGATCTTCACGGAAAGCCTCCTGCAACTCCCCTTTCATGGTCTCCAAGTCCCGCTGGACCTCCTCGCGAACCTCCACCGCTATCTCGTCCATTTTCTTGGCCGGTGCCATCCCAGAATTGTTGCTCTGATACCACTTTGTTAAGTCCGAGTCTATTGATTAGGGCCTGTAAACAAATTCGCACCACTTTACTGAAGGAAATGAACAAAATACAAGAGATGTGGGGGTATTCGAGTGACCCCTTGCACTCCCTAGAGCTAAGCTTGTTAAGCAAAGAAATCAATTACAACTTCCGTGTCCTCTTCAGCCTTCCTCCTCTCTTTTTTATTCTCTTCTTCCTTCCTAACCGTTTCCTAACTTCCTGCCCTCATCTCGAAGGAAGGACTATTGCGTATTCCCAGCAGCAACTCTTTCTCCCATGCTGCGTGCTCCTTCCATGTCAGCTTCCACCTCACCATTCTCCGTAACACCTTCTCCTGCCAGTTTACCCTGATTAACTTTGGGCCTTCTCCTGGCGTAAGTGTAACGCAGTGGAGGTTTTGGGGGCCCATCAAGCTTCAGAAAGCCCTTCCGCAATTGCAGCATCATTAAAACCACCACCAGAAAAAGGTATGGCTGAAAGCCACTGCAAATAATTATCAATGTCTCTGGTCCAGCCACTCCGCTGCACTAGACAACCTGCAAAATGGAAAGTAAAAGTAGAGTCAGATTCTCGGCTGGCTGTTCTATGAATTAGATAGCAATTACAAGGACTTTCTCCATGCTAACTAAATTTCCTATTATTGGATTCAATTCAAAAGTTTAAAAATCTAGAAAAACTATCCATACACTAGACATTTCAAGGAATTTTATGTACAAAACCTAATCTCTAACTCGTGACCACAAATACACGGGATAAAATTTTTAGTTATTCTATGAAGTGAAATTCAATCACAAATGTCAAGCACAATGGAAAATTTTCTTAGTTTTGCAGACTCGGAATGACTTTCATTGAAAATTTGTCTTGTAATGGAGCACATGAGTTGGAAGAAGCAGAAGAGAATCATGTTATATTCCTAAAAAACGTACCGGTTATCTTAGAATGCAATAAAATAATAACAATGAAAACCAGTTACTGGCATAATATGAAGGTGAGGAAAATGTATACCGCAATTGGATCCATGAGCGTTGAATGTGACCAGGGCGAGCTCAACGTTAGAGTTAGATGTCTTCTGTGTTTGAGAAATGAAACCAATAAAAATCAATAAGAAATTCAGAGAACAGAAGGATAAATCTTACTTAGGAGCTTGCACATTATATACCATTGCTGGTTGAATCTCAACACAGTTTTGTGGTACCAACAGACATCAGACGTTCCCGCATGAATGAGTGTTTTCATTTCATTCTAAATCATCGGACGTTCCTGCATGAATGAGTGTTTTCATTTCATTCTAAATCATAGATAGAGATTTTAGAGCTTGCATATTAATAACCACTTTATTTTTTTATCCTCCTTTTTTACCCTAGTTCCCTAAAGAAAAAGAAAAAAAACCACTTTTTAAATGGCAAAACTAAACCATTTAAAGGGGCAGGTATTTTTTTTTGGGCAATACATCTAAATGTGCAATTATCATATAGTATCTCTAAAATATGCAACAAATAGTAGCATGGTTGTACTTGTACTGTAGAGGATTAGAGTAGTCAGTCAATATGATAGAGAATATGGAAATTGATGTTTCAGTCACATGGCAGTTTCTGTACCATGACTTAAAATGTTAAACGCAATTTTTTTGGGTGGAAATAAAATCCAGACACTAAAAGGGCGGGAAGAGAACAAAGAAAGCCACAAGATCGTATAAGACATAACTACTAGCAAATGTTGGCCTACAATTCTGCTCAAGTGGCAAACATGGATTATAAATTTCTAATTCAGGATATATTTTGAAGTGGTGGATGACTTTAAAAAAAATTATAGCAAAAAGAAAAAACTGACCTGCCCAACCAACTCATTCCCATAGAAACACCTGCATGTAAATCAGTTCTCCCATATAAGAACAGATACAATGTCAACTAAGCTGAAAATAAAGTCACAAGAGCTTAGTATTCATATGCATAGTTATTTCCATAACTGTTATTCATTTAAAAAAATAGTTTCCACAACAACTTCTTGAACGTTGCCTTGCTCAATAGCCTGCAATTTTTGCAGAACTCTTTCTGCTTGCCAAACTAAGCAATTCAATGTAAAGAAACATATACAAAACGAGAAATAAAGAGTAAATAAAATTCTGCATAGGTTCCTTGAAAAGTAAAGAAACATTTCAAAGATGCAGTCCCAGAATATTTAGGACGGACAACTATTATTAATTGGAGAATGAAGCCTATATTGGGTTCCAACTAAATTATCTCTAAGCATCATTGAATTTCTTATATAAGTCACATGATTGATTGCTTGACTATTTTAAATTACAGATTATGAAGTTATGCAAACAATATAGTCGTAAGTTTAGAAGCTATGATACAAGAATACTCTTTGCAAAGCAAAAATTTCTACATAGGTCATTAAAACCCTACGTCAATCCAAAAAAAAAAGCACGTAAAACACAGTTTCTTTAGAGAGTTGACAACATTGAGAATAGTACAAAACTATATAATTTTCCAACCATAAAAGCATACAAGGTCATAAAAGGAAAAGAAGAGAATCCTGGCAAATGAGGAAAGATACAGGTAAAATACTAAGAACGGATGGTTCTAATGTATGAGCAGCAAGGTAAGCATATTGCGATTTGTGACTTTAGGAAACTCGACATACAATGAGGTTTTTAGTTCATCCTGTTCCACAAAGAGGCAAAACTCAAGAGCATGTTTCTAGAGTAATTTTCATATTTCATAGAAAAGTATGAAAAATTGCTCTTCTCAATTGATTCATATTCTACATAGAATGTAACATATATATAGAATTAACCCCTAGCTTTATAATCAATCCCTAGCTGTAAATGAGGCATCCACCCTATCTCAAATCCCTCAGATTAGGGGATTTTCCTAGTCAACTATCTAATACAGCTGTATGAAGATTACATTTTCCAACACTCCCCCTTAAGCTGGTGACTAGATGTTTTCCATTCCCAGCCTGGATACAATTGTTTGAAATACTGCACTACTCAAGCCTTTGGTGAGCACATCTACAAGTTCATGCTTGGTAGACACATAAGTACAAACCAATCCACTTTCTAGCTTTTCCTTAATAAAGTGCATGTCTACTTCTATGTGCTTCGTTCGATCATATTGCCCTAGATTATGTGCAATGCTGATTGCAAATTTGTTATCGCAGTAGAGTCTCATTGGACCATCCCACTTAATTTTCGAATCTTCTAGGATGGTTTTCAACCATAGTAGCTCGCAAACCCCTTGAGCCAACCAAAACTTGTCAAATCTAAACGGAGCGGGACCCCACTTTGGAGGTTTAGTGTGAAATAGCACTGGGCAATCATCCAAAACCGTCGCTTCTTGGCGGCCAAAAGGAAAAAGCTCCAGCCAACTCTCGGATAGCAGAAATTGATCCAATCTACAACAAATGGGAGACTCCGAAATTGGACCAAGCGAATTTTGTATTGTTCAGGGGCAAGTCTGCCAATTTCAGATCTCTAATAAGTTCGTCAAAAAAGCCTCACACTTCTCGTAATCCTAGAACTACCACTTTTCTCTGACAAGAATACAGTAACATTGAAATCCCCTCCCATGCACCATCTTTGTCCACAAAGTGACCAGAGGCCCACCAACTCGTCCCAAAACAGATTCCTTTTATTATAATGGTTAGGCCCATAGAATCCCAAAAGCCACCAAAATTCCCCCTCTTCCTCCTCATCATTTATTGTAACCGAAAACTCCCATAAGAAACTCCACCACTTTAACCCGTCTAACATCTCAAATTAGCAAAATACCTCCTGAACGGCACAGCCAATAAATAGGCCCATTTTTTAAATCCGGATTTCCATATATTGGCCACGAATTTTCTGTTAATCTCCCTCCGCTTAACTTCTTGAACAATCAGCAAATTTGGATTCTCCTTGCACACTATCTCTCATACTCCTCTTCTCCCCCTTTGATATTCCATGTCATCAACTTCATTTAAAATCTTTTGATACCCCGTTCACTCTCTTATCATAGTGAACATTAAATTCTAAGCTCTTCAGTTCCTTATCCCCCTTCCTTCAAATCAACTTTGTTCCCACTTCTGAAATTCCCTTCAATTCTGGAGTAGAATTTGAAAGGTGTACCTGCATCTTCTATAACAAGGCTCTAATTCGGCTCCATTCCACTTCTCTGCCTCCGATGTTCACTGTACTAATTTCACTCCTTATGATCTGCATGTTGTTGTTATTCAGCGAGAGAGCAGCCTCTTGCGGACTTAATCCCCTATCTATCCCGTCCAAAATAGTCTCCCAATCTACTCCACCCCCTTCTATCGATAGCCTCTCAGAATTATCCCCGAGATCACAAGGTGTGATTGAGGTCAGAGATGAGAGATTTAGAGCATCAGAAATTAAAGCCCAGTTCTGGGAATTCAATAAATTGTGAATTACCGATTCTCGAAAGTTGAGGATTTTGGGCTTTCATCTACGACGAGAAAACGCACCTCTTCAATCCCAATAAAATCTTCTTAAGACACCTAAACATCAGCAAAGGTCTCTTTTTATGAAGCAACAAAAAATTATTAGCACTCTTCTCAAAGTGTGTCTCCTCCACTACAAATATTCTCAAACCTCCCACTCCTCTAGAATTCTTGAGGTAATAGCCACTTGGGCATCGATTCCAAGTTTAATAACCAAGTGTCCCGTGAACTGTCTCCTACCGACCCTTCGAATCCATTATTCCTCTGTCCGCATACTCCACCGGACATTAGGGTTTTTCCCCGGCCATGAAAACCGTCTTCCCCGTCCTCATCGCCGGACTTCCTACCTCATTTACTACCATGGGACACAAATCTGAACCCCTGACTATTGGTGATACAACTCTCCTTCGCCAATCCGGCTTCGATGTTATCCTCTGCTTCGAAGCTTCTGTACAAAAAAACCTCCAGTTATGTAATTAGTCGCCCTGTTTTGAGAGGAGTTGACACCCAAGTTAAAGAGTCCTAGATGAATTGTTTCGCCTTGACAAGGAATCTCCAGAACTGGCGACATAAAACCATCCGGAAAACCTCTTATCTTTATTTTAGCATACAATAAAAAAGATTGATTCAAAGTTTCCTCAACAATCTCAAGCGAACCTCCGCAAGTGTCTCCTATTACTTTTAGAACATGGTAGTTCCACAAGTTTAAAGGAAGACCTTCAATACCAATCCAACTATTTCTAGCCTCAATTTGAACATAATTCCAATGAGAGTGCATGCTCCACGGCTCCATACTGGTTATAATAACTCCTAAAAGAAACAGATTTTTGTCTGTCATCAGAGAGTTCCTCTCCTTATCGTCTCTGCACCATGAAACGGCCCTGTCAACGACCATGGGGACTAACTCAGCAGGCCTGCCCATTCTACTTCCTAATAGTCCTTTGATGACTTCCCACTACATGTCTGATCTTTTTCTAATAACTACAACCGCCAACTTCCAAGTTTTTATCATGTCGTTTGAGGCTGTGTACTCTTGCTTAGTTTGCTTAGGATTTCTAGCTTCTATCTTCATATTTGTTGGATGCAACAGTTTATTCACTAGCCTTCCCCTCCCTTCAAACTCTTTATTCCCCTCCCGCCTCCCGGTTCTTCTTTCCTTCCACAGATCTTATTGTCAGTTCAACTTTCTGATGACTACTCGGTTGAAGAAACTCTGAAGACAACCTCTAAACTTCTCCCAACCTTGAATTACTATGTTTCTTATTCCTCCATTCTGTATCTTCGAAATCTTCAAGAAATTCCCGCCTTTATTCCTGTTGCATTTAATATCAACCTATAGCTTGACCCTTTGTCGAATCTTCTGAATCCTCCCTCCTTGCCCTTGATCAGTGGTTCGTCGACTTCTTTGCACAGCCATGCTGCACATCCAAAATCCACTTGTATTGAAAAACTTCGAACTCTATTTCTCTCGGTGATCTCAATCTTACTTCTTGAGTAATCTAATCTAAAGATGAAAACTTTATACTTAGTTCTAAAATCCTGATGAAAGTGTTTATACCTCATTCTTATTAAGATATAAACATCTAACCAAGCCAAAAAGTAAAGAACTAAGACAAACCACAACTCTCAAAGTTCTAGAGAGAAAGGAGAGCTCTTCTCTCTCCTCTTCTCTCTCTAGAATAAGATGACAACAATTGATACTTTATTAGCTATTGCTTCGTAGTTTGAAAAGGCTAGACCGAAGTGATGATGGTGATTTACTCGGTGACGTTTTGATTGCTCGGCATCCCCAAGGAGTACAGCTCCTCCCGTCCTTAGCAAGTCCAATCATTGTCCCTAACTCCTGGTCTTGAAATCCATAGTAAGTAGGGTAAAAAATCCATATTGCAAGACAAATCTTGAGTAAGCTTTTGTATAGAGATGAGATTAGTAGACAATTTTGGCACATGGAGCACATTTCTAAGTGTAACTGTGGGACTAATTTTAACATCTCCTATACCTGCAACAGTGGTTAATGATCCATTGGCTGTGGTAATTTTCCTACTGCTTGGACACGGGCTATAGGTGCAAAATTTTTGTGATGAATGGGTCACGTGATCAATGGCACCTGAGTCTATAATCCAAGAATTAGTAAAGGTTACATCCGAGACATTTAATCCAATGGAAATGGGAAACTTACCTGAATGTACCAATGAGCAAGTACGTAAGAGTTCTCCAACATATTCGGTTGTTTTCGACGTGTGGTTGCAACAACAATGAAGGTTAAGAGTTGTCAACGGTAATAAAGGCTCTCCCAAAAAATGGCAATAAAGGCCAACATATCCTATATTTGTCATTCAAACAATTTCAGACTTCTCCTTCTTCGTCCGAGGCGCGTGACTTGAGAGTAACAGCTCATTCTGAACAGATGACGGCGATTGCAATGATTGGAATCCTAGCATAGGGTGGCGATTGCAATGATCGGAACCAGAGCATAAGATGGTAGCAACTCGAACCATAGCAGATGCCGGCGATGATTCAAACTGGAGAGATGGCGGCGACGATCTAAGGCGGGGATGATATGAGCTTTAGCAGATGGCGGTGACAATTTGAGCCCTTCTGATGATGGTGCGCGAACAACGGCGGAGATGTCAGGCAGCGGTAAAATCCCTAGATCAAAGGTGCTAGGAAATGAACAACAACCGTCTGGGCAATGAAGACCCTGACAATTTGAGCAATGAAGGCTCTCTGAAGATGGCCATTAAGGATAGGGAAAAACGACAGAGAAGAACGGCAAAAAGGCCGTGAAGGCAGAACCAAGCTCAGCAAGGAAGGCCAAGAGAGATCAATTTCCCAGAAAACGAGCCTAAAGCTCTGATACCATGTGGAAAATTAGAGGAAAAAAAAAGTTTGAAAAATTGCTCTTCTCAATTGATTAGTATTCTACATAGAAGGTTACATATATGTACAATTAACCCCTAGCTGTTACAATCAATCCCTAGCAGTAAATCAAGAATCTACCCTATCTCAAATCCCTCATATTAGGGGATTTTCCTAGTCAACTATCTAATACAGCTGTATGAAGATTACATTTTCCCACACGCAATAATATTAACCTATACGTCTTGCAACTACACAATCACAAAACTATATCCTTAATTCTTGTCAAAACACATACACATGAATGAATTTGTAATTTAGCGGGGGAAAAAATCAAACTAGTAAAGTAAGCAAACTGAAAAGTGAGAACTCAACTTAGAAACCTTAAAAGAGAACTGCCCCTTGCCACTAACTTATTGTGTCTATTACGCATAAGAAATATAACCAAGCTAAGTTACCATATCAAAAGTTAAACTTTTCAAGGTTGTCAGTTATGCATCACTATTTTAAGATAGCTGCAATGCCATCTAAAAACCACCGTCCTATATGGATTTCATCATTTGAAGCACATATTTTTAAAATTCATATGCCCGTATTTAGAGAATGACTAACTCAAATGATGTAGCATAAAGAAAATTTGATTGTAGTGGCAAAACCATGGTCAGGTTGCTTTGCCACAAAACAAAATGTGGCATATCAATCCGGTATTGTACTATGAAGGTCCAACTAATAACAATTACAATTCTTGATCCTACAGCAGCAAACATCTTTTTTCCTTTCAAGAACAGCCAATAAATAGTTAATTAATTCCCGCACCGGGCGCACAATACATGGAAGGAAATTAATCCAAAAGCACGGATTTTGCAGGTATAATCACGATTCCCATATCTAGTCAAAATGAAACAGATTCCGGCTATGCACCATCACGTCTTCTAGCTCGAATTAGGAAATAAATTGACGCTAACAACTAGCAATTGCAAAATTACTAGGGTTTCAATTTTGATAAACTGCTTTCAACATCATTGAAACTGTCCATACACACAACTTACTGATTATTCCCAATGAGTTATGCCTAATAATATGACAACAGTTATGATGAGTAAATTTAATCCTCCATTGAAACTAGATCAAACTCCATCAAAAACATGACATTGTTGTATTGGTTATATTCAAAATTAGGGTTTTGGAAAAGGAGATTGTGCTTCTAAAGAAACTTTTAAGGTTCATTATATGCGAAACAAATTAAAAACTGGATTAAAACTCTATGATCCAAGAATAAATTCCAAAACCAGAAGAAGCATCTTCAAATCTCAAAAAAAAAAAAAAAAAAAAAAAAAAAAAAAAAAAAAAGAAAAAGAAAAAGAACTAGAATCAAATCGAATTCCAAAGCCACGAAACAGTTGTCAGAACAAATTAACACTGATCAGCCCCCTTTTTCACTCGACAACAACATCAAAATTCTGAATTTTCTTTCCAAATTCCGGTAACTTATCAAACCAACCAACCAAACAAACAAACAATTTTTTTTTTTTTTTGGAAAGGAAACAAAACTTTATTAAGAAAAGTAGAAATGTACAAGCAGAGGAAGAGTGTTCCTCACAGCGACAAATCTGAACCAGAATCAACAATCAAAAGACAAAATAACTCAAGCCACGGAAATGAAATTAAAGAAAAGGGCCCCAACTAACAAACAAACAATTTTGTTTCTAGAAAATTTATCAAAAGAAGAAATTTGAGTTTCGAAAAAGCATTGAGAAGAGGACAAGGATCGAATAATAAACCTGACGATCTTCTCGAGGTAATCGGAGAGAACGGTGGGCCAGTAGGGGCCCATGGCAGCGGTGCCTTCGACGGCGACGATCAGCTGTTTCTCCGCCATCCGAATTCCGGGGAGTTGAGAGCAAATTGTGGAGCTCACTACCACTGGAGAACTGAGAACTGGTCCGAGTTCAAGACCACCTCGGAGATATTGATGTTCGGGTTTGAGTTTGTGTATTACCCACAGATATCGATAATTTGTTAGTATGTGTTTGTGGGCTCTACCAAAGGGCCCTTAGTAGTCAGCTTCGATTACTTTCTACTTTTTTATTCAACCAAACGAAACATAGTATAGAATGTTTTGTAAAAGGATTCGTTTCTTAATTTAAATTATGATTCGTGATTTATTATAATTTTTTTTTATAAAAAATATATGTAAATTAAAAATAATTTGAATCACGTTATTTGAATCCTGCAATCAAACGTCCTGAAAATTATCCATTATGAATGACATTATTATATATTTTTTTTGCCTATGGTTTTCTTTCTTCGTATGTTTTACTCTGTGATTTTTTGGTCTTTTCGGCTGCTGTGGCTTCAGATCTCATTATTTTTGTGTTTACCTGTTCTCTCAATCTCTCTTCTTTTTTTGATTTGGCTTCTGCGTGTGGTTTTTAGGGTTTCTTTTCTCTCTTTTTTTCCTTTCTTTTTTTTTGTGCTTATGTTTTCCTCAGTTTTGGGTCTTCGGTGGTTTTCTCTTTGGCTGATGATTTTACTTTGGCTACTTCTTCCATTTTTTGTTATGTTTGTTAAAATATAAAAATTATTGTTGACCCACCTCCTAATAGCTTAAACTTTTGGGATAGATTGGTAAACTAACATGGTATCAGAGCGGGAGGTCTTGAGTTCAAACCCCCGTAATTGTACTCTTTATCTCCATTTAAAATTGTCATCATGTATTGGGTCTTTAATATATCTCGGGCTTTAAATATTCACGTGTTGGGCTTTCTAATTAATTTACCTATACGATTGTCCATTATCCAGCCCACATGTGAAGAGGAGTGTTAAGTATAAAAATTATTGTTGGCCCACCTCCTAATAGATTAAGCTTTCTAACACTGTCGAAGGTTTGTTGGAATTTTTTGCTTCTTTCTTCTCTTTTATTCGTTGCTTTATTTTGGGTTTTACATGTTCTTGGTTCATGCCTTTTGTTGATGGTTTTTGTTATGGTTTTCGCTTGCGTTTTTTTTTTTTTTTTTTTGGGGGTGTCCCTTTTTTTTTTTTTTTTTCTTTTTTCGGCGTGTTCCTTTTCTTCTTTCTTTTTCGTTTGTTGGTTTTTTTTCCCTTTCTTTGTCCGTGTTGTTCTTTTTTTTAATCACTTTGTTCTTCTGCTGTTGGTTTTTTTCCTCTTACTTTTCTATTGTTTTTTTTTTCCTCACTTTACTGATGATTCTCGAATGTTCTTGGAGATTTTCCCTCTATTTAGTAGCTGATTCATTTGTTCAGAAAGCGGTTTACATGGTGCTTCATCTGTGTACGTAAATCCTTCGTCTGAAGATTTTTTTACCTGCTGATTTTGTATCTGCCATTTGTCTCAATCGATTTTCTTTGCATTTATTAATTTGCTGATGCATGTTGATGATTTGTAATCCATAGGGTATTAATTTGTACTTTTGCATTGATTTGTGTTTTTTTTAGACTTATTAAATGACTTGAAGATTTTTTTCCTTTTCCAATTTTTAAGAATATGTACGAAATTTCTCTTGGAAAAAAAGGGAAAAAAAAGTATTCTTTTTTTTCCTCTCTACTTTTCTCTTTCTTTTTCATTCATTTTCCTTTTCTTGAATACTGTTTGGAATTTTCTCTTTTTTTTTTCAAGAAAAAAATTTTGGGTATTTTGTTTAACCGAAGAGGCTTTTCATTTGCATTTTTCATGCACCACCTTATAACCAGTACGTGTGACATTGCTATTGGTTATCTTATTCTTTATATGTATAAAATATTGTCGTTGTATATTTTAATTTTAACTGTCTAAATTCTCTCATGTTTTCTCCTTCACACCAAACATCCTTCTTTCTATGTTCCATCGTTGATCATTTATTGCTCTGCTTTACCCTGGTTTATTTATTACTCCATTGTGTTAGTTCTATTTCTTTGGCTTTGACTTGGTTGGTTGGTATAGGCTGATTAACGCAGGACTGAGAATATTCCAGGTATTATTAAGGATCTTTGTCTTATTTTTACCTGTAATCCTTATCAAGTGTATAGTATAATATATATCTCTTTGTATTTCTATTTAACATATTTTCCCCTTAATCAGTTGTAATATAGAATAGTGACTGTTACAATCTGTTTTTACTTATTTGTTTTTATACGATTTCTTCAAGAATTACAGTGAATGTATTTTTAGCTATTAGATTCTTATTTTAAATTATAATATATTTTATAATGATTGAATACAATTGTTTGAATATTTATTTTTTTCTTCCTTTTTACTTGCTCTAACATTCTTGGCTTTTTTGTTTGTTTGGTTTTATTTTGGTCTACTTACTGTTCAGTCCCTTAACTTATTTCTGTTTCGTCTGTATTTGGCTGGCTTATAGTTCGTGTTTCAAGTCATATTCAGAGCGTTACAAGTACTTTTACTACTTATTTTCATATATGCTCCTTATATAAGTTATTGATATTGGATATATGCTATGTTGATTTGTGTTATTTATTATGCTATTGATAAAAATTTGTTCCTGCTTCTATAATTGTTCTTTTCTATGTCTTATTAGTCTACAGTAATAGAATTTTTTTTTTCTTATTAACGTTTAGATAATCATATATGCATATATATTTACTGATTTTTTTGTTAGTGTATTAATAAAAACTTCTCCCGCAGCAACGCATGCGGGCACAAAACTAGTTATTACATATACTGAAGGAGACTTCCAAATCACTGTTCATGCACACTCATTTTATGTTGTTTGTGCAGTGGAGTGACGGTTTTATCTTTTTTATTCTCCTCCTCTATATGTGAGTGGTTGGTATTTTGGTCTTTTTAGGTGTCGGGTTGTGTTCGGACACTTTTACCCCTGCTTTCTTATTTTTCGTTTTGCCTCTGCTGCGAGCGTTTTTTACCTTTCGCCTACCTTGGGCGTCTTCATCCTTTCGCCCCCGTGGAGCCCTAATACTCCTTCCCCCTTTGATTTTCTTCTTCTCCGCCAATTTCGTCCCCTTTTTTTCTCCCTTCTTATTCTGATTTGATTCTGCTCTCTTGCTTTGTTATTGTTGAAATTTTTCGGCTGTTCCTTTCTGGTTTCGGTGTGTTGGTTCCTCCGGTGGAATTTGGGTGTAAATTTGGGGGTTTTTTTGCTTATTTTTTTAGGGTTCTTCTTCCGTTTGCATTCGTGATTTATGGTCCATTTTCCCTCCATTCTTGGTCCACGCCTCTTCCATTTACGTTTCTTGCTTCTTCCTTGCCTTGCTTTGTGTTCTTCGTTTCGATTTTTATGCATTTTTCATGGGTTACATGTTTTCTACTTAATTTTTCTGGTTTGTTTCCCCTTTTTCGGTCCATGGTCTCTTCGTTAGTTGTTCTATATTGATTAAAGTTTTTTGTTCATAGTTATTTGTTATTTTTATTATTTTTTTCCCTCCCTCTTTCGGTTTCTTGCTCTGTTTTTTCCCCTTTTTTTCTTCCCCTCCACCTGCTTTCTTCGTTAATTGTTCTATATGCATTGGAGCTTTTTCTCCATGGTTGTTTTTAATTTTTAATTTGTTACTTCTTATTTTTTATTTTTTATTTCCTATATTTCTCCACTTCAGTTGCTTCCTTCGCTGCTTTATATTTATGTATTATAGTATTTTATTTGCTAACTAATACTGCTTAGTTCAAATCCTACGTAGGTTCGTTATCTTCTCCTCTGATGGATTAATTTGTGCAGGGATTTTATCTGTATCGGTGGACTTTTTCTTAGCTGATTTCATGTCGTGTATAGGTAATTCTTGATTTTCTTTTCTTCATTTATTGCATTGATGAGTTAGGATGCTTGCAGTGGCCACTTGCTACGTGGCCGTCGCTGATACTATAATTATGCTCTAATACCAACCGTAACGACCCTGCTGATTGGTCATCACTGTAACTGGTTTTAACATATGCTTTCTAAAACTCTCAAAATTTGAGAGACCTTTTTTAAAAAAAAAATGCTATATAGAATGTTGCCGCATTTTTTTAAAATGTTGTATGAATGGTGTAGCATTTTATTTTTAAAATGTTATATAGAATGCTGTAGTATTTTCTTTAAAATGCTGTAGCATTTTCTTATAACTTAAATAAAATACTATAACGAATGTTGTAACATTCTGAAACAAAATGTTATAGCGAATGCTGTAGCATTTTGGGCATAAGTTTCTTTCTCCTAAAAAAAACTATATCATTCATTTTTTATGTAGAATGTTGTATCATTCTTTAAAAATTTATGTAACGACATAAATTTTGGTTTCTCACTTTTGAACATAGTAAAGTGTTTATACTTCAAAAACAATTCCTTTTCTAACGCATAAATTTACACATAGGTATATTTTTACTGCTCAAAATCCTGCTAGCTTATACAAACTTAACAATCATACTACAAACTTTCAAAACACAAGTTCATAGACATATTCAACAAAATCTTTAAAACTTTAAACTATTGCGGAAATAACTGTTGGTTACCGAATCGAATTCGGATGCGGAAGCGTGGGGATAGCGGATCGTGTATAACAAAAATTTTCATAAAACCTTTGAAATACTCTATAGATTATATTAATTTATGCACGAACAAATTAATCACATTAATTTATTTAATAAGAACTAAATTAGGAATTATACCCGGCGGCCGATTAGGATGATAACTTGAGTTCTTTGACCTCGAACAATCCTTGCTCCAAAGCTTTGTGTTTAGAAAACCAATGTCTTACACATCAATTCCTAGAATCCACGAAGACATGTGTGTGAGCACACCTGAAACAAAATGAGTTAGAATAAACACTCAAATTTTCACAAATACTA